TCTTCAGTGTGGCTGTGTCGACTCTGTGTGTGGACTGGGCCACTGCATGTGGATGACTGAGGCCCAAACTAACACGCAGGGGCACCGAAGCCTGCGTCATTAACTGCGATCTTTTCCCCCACTGCATACTTAAATCCTGGGATGTGTTTGAAAGAGTCCCTCTCCTCCTACGTCTGCACATGTATCTGTGTCTGTATGGCTTCAAGCATGTTTAATATCATTGTCACCAGCTGTCTGGTGTTGCTGATCGTTGTTGGTTAAATGTAAAAGTTTCCCAAGAGACCACAAGATCAATTTTTCCCTGATACTCATCCATTTTCTTTCCCCACCCTGTACAATTCCTTCATCTCAGGCCGACGAGCGCTACCGTAAGAACATTCAGGGCTCCCCTCAGGCCGCCCCTCCTCCCAAGCAGCCCCCTCTGCCTCCCCGCTCCTCTGAACCGTTCTCCAACGGCGGCTCCTCGTCTGACGCATCTGCCATGCACCGACCCATGGAGCCTCAGGTAACTCCTTCCTCCGCTGCTCCCTAGCCTTTTCCTCCTCCTCCTTCATTCTGTCGCTGCACTGGATTTGTCAGTTTTCTCAGACATTTAGCCCACTTCGAATAAAGAAAAAAATAAAATAAAAAATAGAAGGCGAGGCTGGGCAGAATGTGTGTTTGAGTGAACTGTGGCTTTAGACTGTTCACCTTTTTTGATTTCCCTGGGTATTGTTTTTTGTCCTACTGTTGAGACTCTCAATAAGTCATAAGCACTTCAGTCAGCAGTCTGAGTAGTTTTAAAAACACATGACAGACGCCTGATATAGTGAGTTAATCAATCACTGCTTCCGCCAGTGCTAAAAAGCCAATAATTTTATTTCTCGCCTTTTTTGTTTTATGTTTTTCTTTCAAATGAGCAAATAGAGCTATAATTTACCCTCCTGAAATCCTTTTTGCACGCTCAGCGCAGCCTTTTTGCTGAATATACTGAACATATTCATGATTTCTCTTTGGGCGCTCTGTGGCGTCATCTTTTTCCTACAAGAATGCCCATACAGAGATGGGTGTAGTGGTGTTTGTGGGAGAATATGTACTTTTTACAGACTAAGCTCTCAATCGCAGAACAATTCAAGAACAGATCAACCCAGAAATGGGACAGTTTTGCCACTTAACCTCCTGAACTGTTTGATATTTCCACTTGAGAAGAGTGGGGGGGGAAAAAACTGAACTCCAATTTATCATAACGGCTGCAAAACTGCATGACCAACCTTTGGACTCTGTGGCTAAGACACTTGGGAGTGAGACACTTAGCCTCATCACCTTTTCAGAGTGAGGGTTTAAAAAACTCCAGCACACGCTGACAGTTCAATTTCTGTCGAATCAACACTAAATTACAGGAGAATAACAGCCAAAAAGCAGCCGTAACCTTTTCAGTAAATCTGCTGCACTTTGCAATCTTTGGGGGGGGGGAGACATGGCACCAGATTTGTTGGTTTTTTGTTTGTAAGATGAGCTAAGCAGAATTCAGCTTAACTTTGCTTAAACTCATGTTTGTGTGTCTGAGGAGTAAAAATCTGTTACATTTGGTTTTTTATTTTTAATACATTTGAGAGAATTTGAAACAAGTTTTTCTTCACTTTGAGGATTTTTGTGAAGAAAAGTGGTTTTGTTTTTTTTCATTTTTCTCTTCCTCAGTAAAGACTCTTTGCAGTCTTTGCACATAAAAATCTAATTGTGGGTTCACAACATGAATATAAAACAAGTACTGATGGCAGTGGCTTATTGCAAAAGCAATTAGATGCTCTGCTTGCAGCAGACTTCTGCAAAATGCACTACTTGTGTATGTTACTCAGCAGAAAAGCTGGGATAGGCTGATTGCAACATAATCTGCCTTTGAACCTTTTTTAAAGCTCAGAAATTGTAATGTGTAATTTGGAATGACACTTTTGAAAAAGAAGCTTCATATTTATCATACCGACACAGGCTCCTCTTTCTTCAAAGGGTTGATTCCTGTAAAAAAACAAACGCAGACTGAAGAGTGAAAAAGTCATTGTTTCGTGTTGTGCTGTCTGCCGTGTGCATGTGTACATTATGTAAAAAGCCACACGCATCTTCCCTCATGTCTCACTGTGTTGTCTGCTTGTTTCACCCCCTCCCCCCTGCTCTTCCTCTTCCTGACTCCCAAAAAGGTCCAGTGGTCTCACCTGGCTGCTCTAAAGAGCAGCAACAGCGCTGCCCCCTCTCCTCCTCCTCCGCCCGTGGTTGCCCGCTCTCAGTCCTTCAGCGAGTCCGGCGGTGTGGCCTCTAGCTTTGCACAACTCCACCTGCGCTCCCAGGACCCCCACCATCACCACCACCACCCATCGCCTGCACGCACAGATCCCCAACCCCAACCTCCCCTCCACCACCCTCAGGCTAGGCTTGAACATCAGGCCAGCAGCGAGGAGGTCCCTCCCAAGGTAAGGTGCCGGGGGACGGCTGCCTCCACCCCTCCTCCCACACCCAGCCTTCAAATCTCTCCTCCATCGCTCACTTCCTCTCATCCACTTTTCCGTAGCATGCTGTTCAGCCTCCTCCTGGCTGTGTGCGTCTGCCTTGCTGCGTCTAGTCTCACTTGTTAACACTCAAAACTGCTCTGAGGGCGTATTCAAATGAATCAGAGCAACTTTGAATTTCTGGGCCGACAGATTACCCCATCGCTCATATTCAAAATCATGAATGAGAAATAAAACCGCACATTCCTCTAATCTAAATCGCTCTCAGTGTGTTGTGGGGGTGTTCTCTGTTCTCTGCTGCGCTGTGTTCAGCTACGCCCTAAGATTTTCTCTGTTTCAGTGGTCAAACTAGGACAGTTTTTAAATTCTTGGATGATTTCCACTTCAGCTTCAAATCCCAATGTATGCTCACTGATTAGCATGAGCCTGAACCAGAGGATAAGCTCCCTTGTTTGATGACACTGTTTTCCTATTAGGTGATTGTTTTTAGGAACATATTGATTTGTGATGATCATCAAATACTTGTCTCCCAGGTACCGGTGAGGACAACATCCAGGTCTCCTGTGCTGTCACGTAGAGAGTCCCCTCTGCCTTCACAGCCCAGCAATCAGGGTGGACAGAGGAACGCAGGCAGGTGGGTAAAGAGACCTCAGGCGTGTCTCACTTTAGGATTATGTGGATGTGGTCTAAGAGAGCTGCTCACATGGACGCTGTTAAAAGTTGTAAAAGCCAAAGCCGTAACCCCTCCCCTACATAGGGGTACCTCTCAGAATAGAGAGTTTCAGAAAATATGTTAGAAAAGACAGATTATTGAGACATAATATTATGACTGCTTATAATATTGCAGATTAATATTTATAAGTTGGTTATGTTTGCATATAAAATGCAAAAAATTGTGCTTTAATTTTGTGGTGATGTAAACTCCCACTAATCCAAGTTTGGCTTGAATTAGTACGATCAAAATCACAAAAATATATGTCGTGCATCCTGAAAAGTGCAGGGAGGGTAGGGACTAAATGTTAACATATCACACGATACACTGACAGTGGAGTTGGGTTTGTTCCCACTGTGCTTGTTCTTCCTCGTCACAGTAACGTGGAGCAGCGTCCGCTGTGGGATCGAGTGGAGAAGCTGCAGTCACGGCCAGGCAGCGGCAGCTCGTCCGGCTCCTCCAACTCCAGCTCCCAGGCCAGTCCTGGGGACCGTTTCAGGCCACGCTGTGAGTCCCCTGGTACTGTACTCGGCTACATATCACTAACCCTACCGACTGCTTATTAGCGGATTAGGATTATTACCATAATTATACAAATCTGGCTCAAATGCCATCCTCTGAGCTTGTGCTCAAATAAGTTTTGTTTTTTTGCCAATTAAAGCGCCTTTGCACATCCAGCTCTCTTCGGTCTCCCCTCACTAACGCCATTTCCTTTCATTTCCACAAAGCTTCCTCCAAATCTGAAGGATCGCCTCTCCAGCGGCCTGAAAACGTTTCCAAGAAACAGGATGAAAAGAACGTCGCCAGGCCCACTCGACCAGCTGTAAGTCCACTGTTACTCGAGTGCTGGTTAAACTTGAAAATGAATAGGTGAAAACAGTTTTTCCCACTTTGCTCTATTTTCCACTGCTCCAATTATCCAACCACCTGGTGTGGGAACCTTACGTGAATCCAATGCTTCCTGATTGTTTGGGTGGGGTGCCTTGCTTAGGGTGATGTGGTAAGCCTATTAACTGAGATTACATAATCTCACCTCTGCTATGCCTGCACCATTGCTCATGGCATTACACGATAAAGATTTCAGATAAAAGGCATTTGCTCCTTTTGTGGAGATTGGCTCACTATTTTATTTCTGCCTTTAC